TATATATATATATATATAGGGGCTGGTTCAAATAAAAACTATGTCTGGTGTGAGAACCGTGAGAACCATATTTGATGCTATTTTTAATTGTGTATGATGCTATTTTTAATATTACATGGTGCTATCATTTTCATAAATGCTAATAAAAATTTTGTTGCTATTTTTAATCAAATACATCCTAGTTAAAAATAGCACTAAAACACAATTAATCATAGCACTACATACAATTAAAAATAGTTGTTCTCACGGTTCTCACACTAGGACTTGGTTCTCATTTGAACCACATCCCACCAATGTATCCCTAATTATTAGTATATTTGACTACACTATAATCAGATAATTACTAGAATGCCATTCATGATTGACCATAGTTTGACTTTATTTTTACAAATGGTAACGGAAATTGTATTGCTAACCGTATTTGATGCTATTTTTAATTGTGATGATGATATTTTTCATATTAGATGATGCTATTATGTTTACAAATACTAATAGAAATTGTGTTGCTATTTTTAATAAAATTCATTCTGGTTAAAAATAGCAATGAAACACAATCAATCAACAATTCTCACAGTTCTCATACTAAGACTTGATTCTTATTTGAATCTCATCTATATATGTATAGATTCTCATAATAATAATGCTAAATCATTGTTCAGCTTCAAGTCGAAAGGCTATGCATTACATATAGAGGGACATCAATACTAGTCCACAATAATTTACTTTTGACACGATTTTACTAAAATACTTCTGGCCACATTTTTGGGTTGATTAGTAAATTTCTCACAAAATTAATCAAAAAAACATTAACTCACAATCAACCATTTCATCTCAAACAAGAAAAATATTACGTATAAATTGAACAGAAACGTTAAGGAGCCATCGATTCCATGTGACATCATATAGGACAATGAAAGTGTAAGTGTGGGCCATATTTTTTTTATCCCATGTGATGCCACATAGGACCGTTATCGAATGGCTCCTTAGCATTTCTGATAAATTGAAAGAGTAAAGTAATTTGAGACTCGACCAAGTACACCCATAATTCAATAAAAATAAAATAAATAAAAAATCAAGAGTCCCAAAACTTCGTAGAGCATGTTTGTTTATAAAAAATTTTGGTTTTGTTTGGAGTTTTTAGTTTGGTTTGGTTAATTTTGAAAAAGGTGGAATGGTTATATATAAGTGGGTATATTAAAATAATATTTATAATAAAATAATTAAAATTGATTTGATGTAAAAATAAGAGAGAGAGAAATTTGAAGTGATGGTTAGTTAAAATAATGTGAGTGGATGAATAGTGAATTGAGGTTGATGTGGTTGTATGAATGGTTGATTGATATTATTTAGTTATATTGATGATTTTGATGATAGTGAGGTTGAGTTAAAATTGAGTTAAAAAAAATGGTTGGATTAAAATGTTGGAATTTTTTTGAGAAATTCCATAAACAAACATCTCTTTATTTTCCGTGTGCTATTTTCTTATGGGTGTCATGACATTTTCTACTTACTTTGTTGCTAATTTCGTATAGTTACAGCAAGTGTTTCTTTACGGTTAAACTCATTAATGTTTTAAGCCAAAATCGACATAAATGGAATCTCATTGTTATTTTGGTTGTTTGCATAAGCATCTTCATGTAGAAAAGATGGAGAAATGTTATGGAGCCAACCACCAATGTTATAGTGCCACGTAGGCCACGTGAAAAAATAATTAACTCCACATGACCTACGTAGTACTATAACATTGGTGGTTGGCTCCATAAAGGAGCCAACCATTGACTCCATAGCATTTCTCAGAAAAGAGGACCCTCAAATCTAACAAACTTTCCAAATTAGAGCATTTGCCGTTAATTTGTTGTTGCTTGTTTAAGGAACCGTAACGATTTAGATTTTTTCTCACAAGACTTTGCAAAAAAACAAATGTTGGATGCATTAGGTATAAGATTGCTAAGTATAGAAATAAAAGTATTGAAAAAAAACAAATCTACACATGTCATTCATAAAAATGAATGAAACAAGAGATAAAATGAGAAAGTGGCATAGAAAAAAAATCTCATTCCCATATATATATATATACCACCCTCTTTATTTTTTATTTTTTTTTTCAAAACGATAGATATTCATTCCAAACAAACAAAATACAAACCGAGAGGCAGCGCCCAATGTTCAAACATATACAAATGAGCCCATCCTTCAGATGGCCTAAATCAAAGCACAACCAATACCACTAAAATTAACAACAAGCAATACTTGTAACTATAGGCAGAACAACTCAGTACCCTATAGGCTATAGTCACTTCTTAACCATCTCAAATATGCAAACAAATGATCATCAAATAATATAAGCTACAGAGAAAAAAGTAGATCATAAAGAAATAGCCTCCATTGAACCGAAATGACATGTGTAGATGATAATGACATATTTATGCAGTACGCCTTCTCGATTGCATTCATTTCGGAAAATAGTATGCTAATTTTGGATCAATAGTCATTTTGAAAGAACTTTTATGAACTTTTAATTCTTGCCATAATTAATAGTATGCTAGTTTTATAGAATGCCGCCAAACGAGTTTCAAGTTAAACATGTTTGAATGAGCCACTTGGATTGGATTCGGCTTTGGGTCGCTCATATCCATGCATGTTGACCCGCGCGTTGGTATCGGCCGAGTCGACTCAAAACACTGTGCCAATTTACTAAACTGTGAATTGTTATACTTTCAAATAAATTGTATGCCTTGTTAATTGTTGTAAACTGCAGAATAAGATAAGTTGAATTTAATTTACCTATCCCCTATATATAATTTTCCAATATGCTGAGCTTAAGTGGTAGACTCGCATGTTTCGGGATCCTAGGTGTCACAATTTTATGCTTTATTATTTGGCTTCGATAGATATTAATTTAATTTCAATCCAAATAGATTTTAATTTAATTTCAATCCAAAAATAATTAGGTTCAGCTTACAATAAATATGTTGATTTATTTATGATCATTTTAGATAGATTTTAATTTAATTTCAATCCAAAAATAATTAGGTTTATGTTGATTTATTTATGATCATTTTAGATGTATTAATTGTATTTTGATATCATTTCCTATTATAACCATTAAATTGTAAATGTATTTTAAAAGTTAATAACTTTTGTATTTATTATCGGTTTTATATATATAATATATTAAATTAATTATCTTTTGATGAGCTTCGATTTGACATCCATGTTGTATATATAAAATAAATAAATTATATTTATCTTTATAATATTAATAATAAAATTATTTATTGAAATTAATTAGAAAAATAAAATTATTTCTCGATTTATATATTTATGTTTAATGTAGTCATATGTTATAAGTTAGCAAAATTATTATAATATAACACAAGTAAGTCGTACAAGTAACAAGTGTCATACTAAAATATATAATAATATATATTTTTTTTATAAAAAAGTATTAAAATTTTCAACTACTTTTTTTCATTAATTTAAAATTTTAAAGGAAATAAATTAACAAGCACCCGTGTAATACACGGGTGTACTAGTACTATTATAAGTGTGATTTATTTTTTAAAAATCCAATTGTTATTACTACGGAATTAATGGACGTTAAACTGGAAAAAAAAGGTACAGGAATAAAGTGTAACATGCTACATTTGGGTCAACCTAACTTTTACATTATTTTCTTGTGATTCTAACTTACTCGGGAAATCAATTATTTTCTTTTTCCTTTTTTTTTTAATTCTTTTTACGGTTTTGTTCGAATACATAACATGGAAATGTGAGAGGAGTTATCACTGCAATTATACTAATAGAATGAAATTTGATAGAATAGAATGAGTGGAATAATGAAATGATTATAGAAAATGAATGAAACAAGTTTTTTTAATTGATGTATTTTGTATGTAGAAAAAATGAGTAAAGGAAATAATTTTATTCTCATGTCATTCTATCATATCAATCATGCCAGAAGAGATTGAAATTGAAATTACTTTTTGAGTATTTTATATTTTTTCTTAAAGATGGAGGGTTATGAAAAGAAATTATAACAAAATATTTTAAATGAATGCCTTTTAAGTGTAATTAATCTATCTATACATACTTGTATGGAGATAAAGTTTATAATAAAAAAGATCCCGTGAACGTAATTTTTTACATTTTCATATTTCGTGTATCTTTGAAATTAAGTATGGTCCAAGAGAAATATTTCAAATTTCAGTCCTTGTAAGGTAAAACACGGGAATAAAATTAATTTAAGTATCTATGTATATCTGATGTTTGCTTTTGGTACCAAATCATGTAACTATATATTAGTTTTGGTCGTTAACGTCCCATACAAGCTCATTGCGAGATATATAAATGCACATTTACCATGCTATGCAAATTCATACTTAGTTACATTATCCATGAGCTCGAGTTAAATACTCTATCAATATTGTATTGAAACAAAATAAAACACATCAAGAATCTTAGACGACCACACTTTTAAATTTTAGTATTTTTATTATAAAAAGTACTTAATAATCTTTCCTCATAATAATAATGAGAAATCATGACTCAAGCTCAAGCTCATGGTCAGGCTCAGGCTCAGGCTCATGGTCAGGCTCAGGCTCAGGCTCAGGAATGTTTGGAAGGTCAACCCAACAGCTAACCGACATATAGCGTCCCGCACCACGGAAAGGTAGAAATGTGGTCGTGCTCTTCTCACCCAAGTCGTAAACTTTTACCGCTCTGCCTTTCTCATTTGTAAAATATATAGAATTAGGTCGACATACTCGTCTCTCAGAGATACGGCAAAACCCGTCCCCCCAATAGTTAAGGAAGATAGTCCACTCATCCACACTGTCGAGCTCCACACACCCCACCCGGGTGGCGCCAACCTCAACCCGGAAGACCTTAAATTCCACACCGTCGTCGAGAGGATAGCCTCTGAACAACTTCATGACGAGTAGGAACCCACCGCCGTCCGGTGCCTCAATCAGACGGTTCTCGTGCCATGTCACGCACTTGATCCTTGCCATCGGTACCTTTAAGGTTCGACCCAACTCGTCCAACAATGGTCTAAACTCGACCCCACCGTTGACCACATGGACGGTCACAAACTCGTAGCCCCCACCGTTGACTGGGTCGACGACGCCGTACATCTCCCCTTGAAAGGAGGCCAAGGCCATGAGCTCGACGCCTCCCCCCGCTTCTCCCGGTGGCAAACCGACGATGCTGCCATCCTTAACTCGAAATACGGTCCGCTTCGCGGTATCGTCTGAACAAAAGATGATGTGGCAGTCGGGCTCGGTGGGAGGCCCAGTCAGGACACACCGATCGTAGAATAACGAGTCATCCAAGTAGGGAAGGCTGATCTCGCGCATCGATACCGGATTCCACAGGCAGGATTCGCCGCTAACGTAGTCCACGAGGACAAGCCATCCGTGACTGGAGCCGAGTATGCGCTTGCAGTCTAAGATGGCGAGTTGAGTGGTCTTCCACCGGCCATCCACCAAACTGTAGAACGACTGTCTATGGGATAATCTGCCGTGTGTCGTCATGAGTAGGGGAAGCTTCTCGCTATCGGCCATCTCCAATTTTACTGCAAACACGGAAACCAACTAATTAATAAAATAAAAAACATGAACAAGAATTAGCTGAGCATTTAGAAAATAATAATTATCTTGGTTTATGAGTTTTCCTGGTTTATAAAAAAACTAGTAGAATAATGGTAAAGCGTCAATCTATTATCTGCTTTTTCGAATAAAGTAAACCCAACGCTGCAATTTTAAGGCCCAGAAGAACTATCGGTCTGGAGAATAAAATTCAGATAAAATCAACTACGCCTAATAATAACCCAATTTGAAGAGTCTGGCTTTGGGGTAAACAAGAAAGGATTCGGAGGAACTAGCCAATTTAATTGGCTGAGAAAGAAAATAGTAGAGGCAGCCCACATAACATGCAACATATTGGCGCCGTCCAAGGACAAATTTCTTACAATAATTGATTAATTGGGGAGTTGATTAGAATAAGGATATTCAAAAATCAAAGAGGGTATGTAACGAATATAACAAATTTTATTTACGACTAGTAAGTAATATGCAATTGAACAACCGAAACTATGGATCATGAGAGTTGATGATTGAACAAAGAAACTGAATACAATTTCTTTACAGTTGAAAGTCAAATCAAGCAATAAATGTAGGAATGTTACACAAATACGGTGAAAATAAGTACAATAATACTGTCACAAATTTGGTGCAAATAGTGTAAAATCATATACAAGAGTGAAATAAGATTTACCGAGAATTAATCAGTGCAGATATTGAAAGAGAATTTGAGCAGATCCAATTTTGTATTCTTCAACCAATGTTATATTGCAAATTGACCGTCCTAACTTGGTATTGTTTTCTTCAACCAATGTTATATTGCAAATTGACCGTCCTAACTTGGTAGGAAAGATAAAGGAAATTTAATTAAATCCTTTCCCTTGCCCGAGTAGGAAGATATAGGAAATTTAATTTGTGTTTTAATTATGATCATTAGTTTTAGGAAATTAGTAACTGACAAATCCTAATTAGATTATTTTTTTCCTAAGCTATATTCCGCTAATTAGATTATTTTTTTCCTAAGCTATATTCCGCTCCTGTAATTACTAATTAACATGAACACATAATCTATAATCTATATCTATAATAATATAAAAAGGTTTGACATTTACCTGAAATAGTAACTAAATTCCCACCTAAATAATTCGTTTTTACTTTTATTAGGAATTCTTTTAAAATTTTTTGAAAAGAGGCGGTCATTTTTTAAAATTCGGCACTGATGGCCCACCCAACTTTGTACAGCATGAAGGGAAAAAAATATATTTAACACTTTGGGGGTAAAATTGTAAATGTTTATCTAATCCTATTTTTTATCCATGTAAACAAGCACATAAAACATATTATAAAATAATCTTATTTTGAGTAAATCAAGCATAATAAATATTGGTATAAAAATATCTCTATGCCCCAATCTTGAACACCTAGATAAAACTCATGTAATTCGATTGCTCTAATTATTTTTAATTTTTCTGGTTGAGCTCGAGCTAAAATAGGTATCCCCTTTCCCCAATCTTGAACACCTAGATAAAACTCATGTAATTCGATTGCTCTAATTATTTTTAATTTTTCTGGTTGAGCTCGAGCTAAAATAGGTATCCCCTTCTCGTTTATTCAAATATTATACTCTATTCACTTTTTACACGTATCCCCTTCGCCGCTCCTACCTCTGCACACAATCATCACATTTCACCACGCAAGGACTCAAATCTATCATTATATAAAAAGAATAACCTTTTTATAAATTTAGAAAGTTTTTCCCGCCATAATCATTAAATATATCCTAATTATAGTAATAGTTGGACAATTGTGAATAAGCACAGAAAATGACTCCTTAATTGCAGTGTTTCCTTAATTCTAGCTTGCAGAATTAAATCGGCGTGCAACAAGAAATCCGATTGGCTCTTTTTTTTTTAAACTTTCCCACAAAAATATCGGAATTTTTGTTTTACATCTAAATCTAATTTCTTTTTTTTTTTTCAACACAAAATCCGCTAAAAGTTTAGATATTCACGTGTACGAATTAGTTACATATTGGATTCTTATTAGGAATAAATTATGAAATTAAATAAAACTTTTTGGATAGCATCAATTTATATAAATTTATATAGATATTCAAAAAAAATACGACATTAATTAAAAACATTGTTTTTTAAATTTGATTCACAACATTCATCGAAAAAAAACTGTACAATATTTTCTTGGTGTGTACAAAATTAAGTTGCTAAATAATTGGAAAGAATCCCACCTTGCTACGAATTCGAATATCCTGCAACTCTTCACAATATTTAGTCCGCATTTATCTGATGTAATACATCAATTAATTGGAAAGTAAGTTGCTAAATAATTGTAAAAAAAAAAAATACTGACATTAATTAAAAACATTGTTTTTTAAAATTGATTCACAACATTCATCGAAAAAAACTGTACAATATTTTCTTGGTGTGTACAAAGTATGTTGCTAAATAATTGGAAAGAATCTCACCTTGCTAAGAATTCGAATATCATGCAACTCTTCACAATATTGTCCACATTTATCCGATGTAATACATCAATTAATTGGAAAGTAAGTTGCTAAATAATTGTACAGAATCCCATCTTGCTTTGAATTCGAATATTACAATTCTGAATAATTGGAAAGAGTCCCATACTGCATGAAATTCTCATATAAACTAAAACTTGAACAATATTTGATCTGTCTCCATCCCATTTTTCCTCTACATATAATGTGATTTCCGTTTATCAAGATTTTTCTTAAAAATCTTATTAGATATTGATTCTACTCTACGAATTATAAATTATAAATCTCGATTCTACTCTACCAATTATAAATTATAAATCTCAAAATATTGAGTCATTCTAATATTTACAGTTTGTGTAGATTTAATAATATATGATTGTTTCTTTGTCCAATACTATCTTATTGTACAATTTTCTTACGTATTATAAAACTTTTATTGAATATTGCATCTTATAATATAATATTCCTCAAATAAATATATCTCGTGTCTTGTACGGGTCATGTACTACATATATCCCGTATATTTTTTTTATTCATGTATATAATTATAAGCTTGGATAAATAGCCTTAAAATTGTGCACTCCGTGCATCGCACGGGCTTTCACTAGTAGATATAAATATATTATCATAAATTCATTTTCTGCATTTATTTCTTTATTCAGCAATATGTGCCGATCCAATCTATATATATATAATTACTAGCTAATAGTATTTAATAAAACCTATTTAATTTTACCTATGTGGCAATTTAACAATTTTTTCTCCAAAAATCGTTACATTTTGATGTATTTAATCTTTCATTTAATCATTAAATAATTAATACTCATCACTTCAAAATAACAAAAATTATTTTAAACTTTTGATTAATGACAGTTGACCATATAATGTTTTGACCGTATAATGTGATTAGATGTTATTATTGTTGTTACATTTAATTTTATTTTTTTTGAAAATAAAAAATATATTTGAAATTCCTAAATAATAATAAATAATTCACAAATAAAAGACGTACTAAAATATACATTACATCCAATCAGATAAAAGCAATTTAAAAAAAAATATTCAATTCTTTTAATTATAAATTTGACCTGCAAAAAAGTGAAAGAAAAATATTTAATAATTATATGCATACAGACTTACAATAATTTATTTATATTTGTGCAAATGTACAGGTCGAATACTAGTACACACTCAATTATCGAGGACTGCTGCCCATTTTATTGGCGTCGTCGGAGCTCAAGCGCAAGTCCCCCGCCCTGCGGCCCGCCCGATTTTCTCAAAATCAGCAGCGGCGCCGGCTCTTGCAGTGGTTTAGATTCCGAATCGGCGATGAAGGAGGAGCTCGCCAGGAAGAACTTCATAGAACAGAATTCGGTTCTGGATGAGGGTCGGGGGCGAGCCCGAGAGAAGCTCGATGACGCTTCTGGACGACGCCGGGTCGGTTACTCCCATCCGCGGAGACGGTGGAATCGCGGTCCCGAGGGCGGTGGACGACGTGTGGCGCGGTGGCCCCTACGACGGGTGAGGATTTAGGGGGTTTATGCTTAAGAGACGAAATCCGGCGTTGTTGGGATGAACGAGGGTGTGGAGGTTGAGGGTTTTGGCAGAGGGGAAGGAGAGAGGAGTATGAGCTTGTCGGAGCCTCTGGATAAGGCGGAACAGTGGAGGCAGAGAAGAATGAGCAAGAACAGGGAGTCGGCCACGAAGTCCAGTGAGCGTAAGCAGGTGGGATTTTGGTCATTTGACTCATTTTTTGGTTGGGTCACTGGTTAGGTAGTTTACTGATTTTCCTTTATTGTGCGTGTAATTTATTAGGCGTATCAAGTGGAGTTGGAGTCGATTTTATTTGGCATATCAAGTGGACTTGGAGTCGATGGTGGCGAGATTACAAGAAGAAAAGGAGCTGTTTCTGATAGAAAAAAAGGTAGTTCTTTTCGTTATTTCTTGTTTTCGTCTTGAATGGCTCTATGAATAGCTCATGGATATGTGGCTGTTATTCTTGTTTTCTTCTTGAATGGTTCTATGAGTTGCTCATGGATATATGGTTGTGTTGGCGTAGTTAGCATAATATTGCTTGAGTCAGAGTTGGCTGGATTGATCCAGATAGATTGCAAGTAAGATGTTTCTGGTTAATTTTTTGTGAGTCCTTATGCGCCATTAGATGTTGAAGAATGGTTCTGTTTATTGCGCATTCAGGACATGATGACAAGATTCTAGAACTAAATTACACTGTGTTCTCAAATCCTTTGGTTTCTTGGTGATTGTCTGTTGTTTATTTTGTTGGCACCGATAGCTGCTGCTGCTACTCTATTTGTAAATTGTGGTGTCCCTTGATCTCTAGTGAAAACCACTAACTAATACAGTTCTTATATGGTATGCATTTTCGTTTGACCAAGTTAGGCTATTGGTGAAGGATAGGAGGTACCTTTTTGTGCTTGTTTATTTCGGTCTTGGTGTATTTCTATTTCCCATTGTTCTGTTGTAAATAATCTACTCATTAACTAGTGTGTAGCCCGTGCGATGCACAGGTAAATAATATTAAATAATAATTATGAATTAACGATGACAGTAAATAATATTAATTAATAATTATAAATTAAATATGAGGGTAAACAATATTAACTAATAATTGTAATTAAGATGTGGAGTTAATATGTGATATAATTTATCGTATATCAGTTGTAAACCATATAAATTTATCTTGTATAAAATAACATAAAAAATGTATGTTTAAAATATTAAAAACACCTAATATATTATATAACGTATGTAAAGTATCTAAAATTTTATATATCATTATTGAAGATGTGAAGTCACCTAAAATCTTTCTAAACTATTTTATAAATAAAATATGTCTAAAATTATTTAAAAAAATCTTGCCAAAAATATGTTATTCAATTTCCAGAACATGATGATAAGTATAAGTTTGAATTTTAGAATCCACGTGAGTATTGTTTTTTAGATCCGTGTACTATACAAATTATTCATTATGTTAATTTCCTGTGAACTTCATATTAGTTTATTGATTTTATTTTATTTCATACAAAGTTGATCGTCTCATTTTGTTTTATCATATTTTCATGGAGATTTAACAAAGTCGATTGCATTTATAAAATGATTTGGATATCAACATAAATTTATAATGGAGTTTTCAAAATTGTGTACTATTAACAAATGTATATTATCATTAAATATATTTTTTTTTAAATGCACAATCATTGAGACTGGTAATTTGATAATTATTTTACCTTTTGAAACTGAGTATAGAAAAAACAATAGATTGGTAAATAAATAAGTGATAAACATTACCAAATTTATTATCACATGTTCCAAATAAAAAAATTGTGATGATTAGTGAAATGATATTTAACGAATAGCATTCAATATTTTTTTTGAAATGCATAAATATAAAGACCGATATTCTAAAATTTTTATTACCTTTTCAATTGAGATTTTATAAATATAGAGACTGAGATTTTAATGTTCTTCGTTGTTTCTATGAAAAAATAAAATAAAAATAAAATTTAATGCAACTTTAAATGTTGTATGCTTTTTCAAATATAAAAATAAAAAAATAATAAAACTTACTATTTATAGGTTGCATTAAATTCTCTCCTATTTTTTTGCTACTATTTTTGTTAAATGGCCTTATTATATATGTATAGATGGGCAAATTTGTTGAGATTTGGCGGTAATGTAGTTACTTGTGGCATTTACGTAGGTCTGCTTTCATTTTTTTTTTGTTTTATTTTTAGTTATTCAACGTGAGCGTGGACAAGTGCCACTTTTTGGTATATATAATCAAAAGCCTCCTACCTGTTTTGGTCCTCTGTGAATCTGTGATACAGTGAAGACTAGTATAAAAACTTCATGTACATTTTTATTATATTATTGATTTCTGTGTAAACTCCACGTCTAGATTTTTTATTTTATTTTTTGTTTTGCGGGTGTGGGTGAGTGGGATGGTTCTGCTTATCTACTTTTACACCTCAACTCGTAGACTTTTACGCAATACATTTTCTAATGGTGACAATTTCATTTACAGGCAGAGCAAACAAAGAAGAGGCTTAAGCAGGTACCACTTCATCGGGAAACTTCGCATCATATATCACTTTTCATGATTAGTTCGTTCAGTTTCAAAGACATGTATGGGTTAAATGCCATGTAAAATTAATCTTTCTCTTGGTGAAGTTATAATGAGTGCTGTTGTAAAGGGCTCTCTATGAAGTCTTAAGTATGAAGTGATATTTGACGAATAATTTTTATTTTTTTTTATTTTTTTTCCGGTTTTATAGATGTGGTCAAAACTAGGAAAAAAACATTTTCTTGGGCCTTAAAAAATGTTCCATGTTTTTAGTTGTGCTTATGGACGGTCCAGTGCTGTTTTAATCAGTAGACAGCACTTTACATAATCATAAGCTATATTTAACCAAGCCACCGTGGGTCTGCCTCGTTTACTTAATCCAAGAGACGAGGCTAACCACTATGTGACTGATATTTTTATCCTGGATATAATATTAATAGTTGAATAAATAGTTTATCTGTGTCATTCGGTTTGTGTTGATAGGTAAGCTATATTTAACCAAGCCACCGTGGGTCTGCCTCGTTTACTTAATCCAAGAGACGAGGCTAACCACTATGTGACTGATATTTTTATCCTGGATATAATATTAATAGTTGAATAAATAGTTTATTTGTGTCATTCGGTTTGTGTTGATAGGTGAAAATTTTAATTTCTTCCTTGGAACATGCTGTATGGACTCTTTCTCCATCTCCATCCCCCTGATCATTTTATTCATGATTTAATTTAATTATTAATTTTTACTTCCTTCCAATTTTTGGGGAATTATATGTCAAACCCAAAATTGTAACCTAGGAATGTAGTTTAGGATTGTCCAGTTAAGCCAACTGCCAACTGCATTACTGAAGTTGTGATTATCTCATATGCCCGATTTTGACATTTGCAGCTAATGGAGAATGTGATTCCTGTAGTCGACAAGAGAAGAGAAAACCACCATGCATGCGCAGGGTTCGATCCATACAAGGGTGAAACTTTACTGGCCTCTAGGATTTATTAATGTATAGTATAGTTGAGAGCTGAAAAATGCCTGTCTTTTAGACATAGGACTAAGTTGCAGTGGAGCTGCATCTGGGCTTTGAAGTGCTTGAGTTGAGCAAATTTTCTCAAGCCCAGGCACAGCTTGTAGGTCTACTTGACAAAGAGTTTTAACGAGTTAGCTAATAAAGTCCCAGCTCGAATTTCATGATAAGTTTTCATTACGTTTTCCCTTCTTTCATTTTTGTTTACATGAGAAAATTTCCCAAAAAAGGTAAGT